GTCTGGGCGACAGAGTGAGGCTCCAACTCAAAAAAAAAAAGACGTGGGGTACAATTCACATCTCTATAAGTGGGTTAGGTATACAAGCATTGATTATGCAGGTACCTTTCTTGATGAGGTGTGCCCCTCCCTCCCCTGGCAGTTTCCCACTACTGCCAATCCCTTTCTTATAGTATTAGAATTGTTCAAGTTCTGCTTATGAGTGAGAACATATGGTCCTCTGTTCTTTGTTTCTGTGATCGATCACTGAGTATGATTGACTCTAAATCCATCTAAGTTACTGCAAAGTCCATGTGTCTGTCCTTCTTTGTGGCTGCATAATATTCCACTGTGTATACGTACCACATTTTTTTTATCCAGTTCAGCTTCGATGGGCAGCACGGATGGTTACATGTTTTTGCTATTGTGAATAGCACTGCAATAAACAAGCATGTGCAGTTATCTTTTTTGCAGAATGACTTGAGTTCCTCCGGGTATATTCCCAATGGGGGAATTGCTGGGTCATAGGGAAGGTCAATTTCTAGTTTTCAGAAATTGCCACACTGTCTTCCAAAGAGGTTGCATTAGTTTGCATTCCCACCAGCAGTGTAGAAACTCCTTTATCAGCCAGACTCGATGGCTCAGCCTGTAATCCCAGGGCTTTGGGAGGCTGAGGTGAGGGGATTGCCTGAGCCCGCGGGTTCGAGACCCGCCTGGGCAACTTGGCGAGACCTCATCTCTACAATAAATAAAAATGAGCCGGGCGTGGTAGCGCGTGCCTGTAGTTCCAGCTACTTGGAAGGCTGAGGCGGAAGGATCACCAGAGCCCAGCAGGTCGAGGCTGCGATGGCCGGGAGCGGCCACTGCACTCTAGTCTGGGTGACAGAGTGAGACCCCAACTCAAAAAAAAGAAATTCCTTTATCTCCACATTCTCACCAGTCTCTATTGTTTTATGAATGACAGCCATTCTGACTGGGGTCAGGTGGTATCTCAATATGGTTTTGATTTGCATTTCTCTGAAGATGAGTGAAGCTGAGCACTTTTTCATGTTTGTTGGCTGCCCGTATATCTTCTTTCCAGAAGTGTCTGTTCATGCCTTTTGCCCACTTTTTAATGGGACTGTATTTATTTTTTTTGTAGTTGAGCTCTCACCATGTTGCCCAGGCTGGTCTCGAACCTGTGGGCTTAGGCACTCCTCTCGCGTCCGCCTCCCCACGTGCCAAGATTACAGGTGTGAGCCACCACACCCAGTCCATCCCTTTTCTGATTCACACCACTGAGGGTTGGCGTTGTCCTGGCCAATCGTCCTCCCCTTCCTCTACCCAGAAAACGTCTACTCATCTTTCACTCCCAGCTTGAATGTCGCCTCCTCTGGGAAGCCTCCTGGACTCTTCTAAGTGGAATCACCTGCAGCCCTGTCCTGTGCTTCTGTGACTTTCTGCACATCCCTTTGACATGGCAGCAGTTAACCCTCGACTGACATATCCATTCCTCGCTGTCCCCCACTCGAAGGGTGCTGAAACAAGGAATGGACGGGTGCAATGGCTCACACCTGTAACCCCAGCTCTCTGGGAGGCGGAGGCGAGAGGATTGCCTGAGTCCAGGGGTTCGAGACCCGCCTGGGCAACTTGGCAAGACCTCAACAATAAATCAAAAAATTAGCCGGGCATGGTGGCGCGTGCCTGTGGTTCCAGCTACTAGGAAGGCTGAGGCGGGAGGATCGCTGGAGCCCAGCAGGTCAAGGCTGTGGTGGCCGTGACCGTGCCCCTGCCCCTGCCCTCCAGCCTGGGCGACAGAGTGAGACTCCAACTACCAAAAAAAGGAAACAGGGAATGACAGCCGCCCACCGGGGCAGGGAGTGCTTTATTTCACAGCCAGGAAAGGACGAGGCCACGGCCTCGGTAGCAGCAGAGGTGGCCCCTCCCAGCCTCTGCCCTCTGGCCTTGGCATGGCAGCCGCAGGCTGAGTCAGGAGCCGGGAGGCAGCCGGGGTGCAGCCTCCCGCCACGGGGGCCAGCGGGTCACGGAGCAGCATGGGGCGGCAGCAGCAGCAGGTGGCGGGGAGGGGGGTGTCGCCCCGTGGGTAGTGTCTGGCGAGGCAGGGGGCTGGACGTCCAGGCGGGGGCGTGGCGGCGGCTCAGTCGGCCGTGAAGACGCGGCTGGAGATGTCGTCCAGCAGCCAGTCGATGCCGGGCAGCAGGTTCTCCCCGGTGACGGCGCTGCAGCCCTGGATGCACCAGTGGTGGCTGCGGATGGAGTCCAGCTCCAGGGCCTGGGGCGGGAGGGCTGGTGGCAGTGACGTGGAGCCCGCCTGCCCCAGCCTGCCCCGGCCCCCTCCCTCTCCCGGCCCAGGGCAACGTCACGCCTCCCTCAAGGCCCTGCCCGAGGGTCACCCCCTCCAGGAGAGTCTGTCTGCCCCCTGGGGCACCTGGGCTCTCTGTACGGCGCCATGACAGTGTCACCCCTTAGTGAGGTAACAGATGTCCCCGAGGGTCTACCAGGATCCGGACCTTGTCCTAGGAACCCTACGTATCTGCTCCTCCATTCCTCCCAAGATCACATGAGCCATGGACTGTGTTGGCCATTTTACCAAGGAGGAATGGAAAGCTCAGAGAGGTTAAGCCACCTGCCTACCGTTACACAGCTAGTAAGTGGCAGAGCCAAGACTCGAGTCCTGTCTTTCTCACTCTGGTGCTCAAGCTCAGTTAAGATGCAGGCTCTGGGGCTAGACAGGCCTGTTTCTGTGACCTTGGGCGAGTTACCCAACCTCTCTGAGCCTGCTTCGCCATCTGTAAAATAGCAGTTCTCTTACCTCATAAGGTGGTTGTGAGAATGAAATGAGTTAATCCATGCAAAAAGCATGGCATGCAGGAAGCACTCACTACGTGCTGGCTCCTGCTATACCATGGAGTCACAGCTTTGCAGGTGTGGGCCATCACTACACCTTACTGCCCACTGAATCTTCAGTACCCCGCAAAGGTCCTGCCACCCAGCAGGGTTAGTAAGTGTGTTTTAAGGCTGGGTGCGGGGACTCACGCCTGTAATCCCAGCACTTTGGGAGGCTGAGGCAAAAGGATTGCCTGAACTCAGGGGTTCGAGACCAGCCTAAGCAACACGGCGAGACCTCATCTCTACAATAAATCAAAAAATTAGCCAGGCGTGGTGTCATAAGCCTGTGGTTCCAGCTACTCGGGAGGTTGAGAAGGAAGGTTCGCCTGAGCCCAGCAGGTCAAAGCTGTGGTGGCCATGAATGTGCCACTGCACTCCAGCCTGGGCGATGAAGTCAGACTCCAACTCAAAGAAATAAAAAATAATAATAAATGTGTTTCAATAAATGCCCCAGCTGGGCATGGTGGCTCACACCTGTAATTGCAGCACTTTGGGAGGTCGAGGCAGGAGGATTACTTGAGTCCAGAAGTTTGAGACCAGCCTGGGCAGCCTAGCAAGATCTCATCTCTAACTCCAAGTCAAAAAAATAGGTAGGCACAGTGGCATGCGTCTGTTCCAGCTGCTCAGGAGGCTGAGGCAGAAGGGTCACCTGAGCCCAGTTTGAGGCAGAAATGAGCCTCATGCCACCATACTCCATCCTAGGCAACAGAGTGAGACTCTGACTCAAAAGTAAATAAGTAAGCCAGGCTCGGTGGCTCAGCCTGTAATCCCGTGCCTTTGGGAGGCTGAGGTGAGTGGACTGCCTGAGCCCGCGGGTTCGAGACCCGCCTGGGCAGCGAGACTTCATCTCTACAATAAATCAAAAAATCAGCCGGGCGTGGTAGCGCATGCCTGTAATTCCGGCTACTTGGAAGGCTGAGGCGGAAGGATCGCCAGAGCCCAGCAGGTCGAGGCTGCGGTGGCCGGGAGCGGCCACTGCACTCCAGTCTGGGCGACAGAGTGAGACTCCAACTCAAAAAAAAAAAAAAAAAAGTAAATAAATAACAAAACAGTCGGACGGATGGCTCACGCCTGTAATTCCAACACTTTGGGAAGTGGAGACAAGAGGATTCCCTGAGCTCAGGGGTTCGAGACCCGACTGGGCAACTTGGTGAGACCTCATCTCCACAGTAAATCAAAAATTAGCTGGGTGTGGTGGTGCGCACCTGTAGTTCCAGCTACTTGGAAGGCTGAGGCGGGAGGATTGCCTGAACCTAGCAGGTCAAGGCTGCGGTGACCGTGAGTATGCCACTGCACTCCAGCCTGGGCGACAGAGTGAGACTCTAACTAATAAATAAATTAATTAATATAAAGTAAAATCAAAGTCCCTTCTCGGTGAGCTTGCCAGGCCCTGACTCACCTCGCGGATGGCGTTAGAGGACAGTGCTCCAGGCAGGTCCTGCTTGTTTGCAAAGATGAGGAGGGTGGCTCCGGCCAGGCGCTGGGGGAGAGAAGACAGGGAGTGGGAGGGGCTCCAAGGACCACCTGACTCCATCTATAATGACCCCGGGCACCTGGGGCCAAGGGTCAACCTGGGAGGGCAGGGCAAGGCACCGTGGTGATGGGAGAGGCCCGGGCCAAGTGGGCCGTGTAGACAGCCATTGCAGCTGGCACCACAAGGCGAGGAAGAAGTCCTGGGGTGGTCCAGGGTTCTGCCTCCAGCCAACCACCACCCAGGGGACATCTCACTCCCCCATGCCTCAGTTTCCCGTTCCATAAACAGGGAGTGGGTATCAGACGATTCCAGACTTCTCCGATCTGATGGCCTGACATGCACAGAGAAGGTAAATGTCCCAGAAGCCCACGGGGGACCGCAGGAAGTGACCTTCCCCCACTCCTGAGTGCCCATAACACTTTAACCCTTCCATTCCCAACAGGCCTCACTCTGCCTCTGATTCTAGCTGTTTCCACATATGCGTTTATGACTGGAAGTCTCTTCGTGTGGGCACGTGGATCTAACCCTTTAGGTTTCGATCTTTTTTTTTTGAGTCAGGGTCACTCTGTAGCCCAGGCTGGAGTGCAGCAGCATGATCATGGCTACTGCAGCCTTGACCTCCTCGTCTCAAGTGATCCTCTGTCTCAGCATCCTGAGTAGCTAAGACTACAGGCGCACACCATCACACCTGGCTAATTTTTAAAATTTTTTTGTAGAGATGAGGTCTCACTACCTTATCTAGGCTGGTCTCCAACTCCTGGACTCAAGTAATCCTCTCGTCTTGGCCTCCCAAAGTGCCAGGATTATAGGCATGAGCCACCAAGACCAGCCTTATGTCTGATCTTTGTAACTTCTGCAAATCTAAAATTTTATTTAAAGAAGAGTATTTGAGCCGGGCTTGGTGGCTCAGCCTGTAATCCCGCGCCCTTGGGAGGCTGAGGTGAGTGGATTGCCTGAGCCTGCAGCTTGAAGACCCGCCTGGGCAGTGAGACCTCATCTCTACAATAAATCAAAAAATTAGCCAGGCGTGGTAGCCCGCACCTGTAGTTCCAGCTACTTGGAAGGCTGAGGCAGAAGGATTGCCGGAGCCCAGCAGGTCGAGGCTACAGTGGCCGGGAGCGGCCACTGCACTCCAGTCTGGGCGACAGAGTGAGACTCCAACTCAAAATAAATAAATAAATAAATAAATAAGAGAAGGGTATTTGGCCGGGCATGGTGGCTCAGGCCTGCAATCCCAGCACTTTGGGAGGTGGAAGCGAGAAGACTGCCTGAGCCCACAGGTTTGAGACCAGCCTGGGCAACATGGCAAGACCGTCTCTGTAATCAACAAAAATTAGTTGGGCATGGTGATGCATGCCTGTAGTTCCAGCTACTTGGAAGGCAGAGGCAGAAAGATCACCTGAGTCCAGAAGGTCGAGGCTGTGGTGGCCATGGGCATGCCAATATACTCCAGCCTGGGCAATAGAATGAGACTCTGATTCCAAAAAAAAAGCATTTTGGTCCAGATAATAAATCATGAGATCACCCTAATTAAAACCCCTATTTTAGGGATGAGAAAGTGGAGGCCCAGAGTGGTTGAGCGCCTTGCCTGAGGTCACACAGCAAAGAGTCAGACTTCCGAGCCTGGCTCCATGGCCTCCCCAGGCTTCACGCTGGCCCTGGGCCTTCCTCCCTGAAGCCCAATGACATGGGTGTCACCATTCCCATTTCAAGGGACAGAAACTGAAGCTCAGGGGAGTGACAGCGGAACACCGCAGGGACATGGACCCAGGTCTCAGTACACAGCACGGGACCCGCCTCTCACACTGTGGATCTCCCAGGGTGGGGGCTCAGAGAAGAAACAGACCCTGCCCCTGGCATTCCTCCAGGGTCACAGGCTCCCCTGGGAATCTGCCGAGGAGAGGGCCGTGTGCCCACGTCTGCGCCCAGGGGCAGGGCTGCCCACCTCCTCGACCAGCAGGCCCTGGAGCTCTCGCTGGCAGTCCTGCATGCGCTGGCGGTCAGCGCTGTCCACCACCCAGATGAGGCCGTCGGTGCTCTCAAAGTAGTTCCTCCAGTAGGACCGCAGGGACTTCTGGCCGCCCACATCCCAGATGTTCAGCTTGAATCTGGAGGGCAGAGGGGAGGTTGGAGGGTCGGCTGGGCCCCCTCCCGCCTTCCCAGCCCTGCTTGGGGCTGGCCCGCCCCCAGGGACCCACCCTGCTCACCCTCGGTGCTCCAGGGTCTTGATGTTGAAGCCCAGCGTGGGGGAGATGGTGTCGATGTCTTCGCCATTGAACTTCTTGAGGATGGTTGTTTTGCCCGCATTGTCCAGGCCGCTGGGCACCCCAGGTTAAGGAGCAGGCCACAGAGACGTGACACCGTCATTTCCCACCAGAGTTCAAAGCGAGTTGAGCATGTGTCCAGTCCATAGATGGCCCACGAAGACGTGAAAGGAGTGGTGGCTCACACCTGTAATCCCAGCACTTTGGGAGGCAGAGGCGAGAGGATTACCTGAGCTCAGGGGTTCGAGACCAGCCTGAGCAACGTGGCGAGACCTTGTCTCTACAATAAAACTAAAAATCAGCCGGGCGTGGTGGCATATGCCTGTAGTTCCAGCTACTTGGAAGGCTGAGGCAGAAGGATCGCCTGAGCTCAGCAGGTTGAGGGTGCGGTGGCCGTGAGCGTGTCACTGCCCTCCAGCCTGGGCGACAGAGTGAGACTCCAACTCAAAAAGGAACCTGCTTTTGGAAGGACTGGGGGAAAAGCAGATATCTGGAGACAGCCACGTTCACCTGTTTCTGGAATATTCCAGCCCCTCTGCTGCAGAGAACGCACGAATGGGTGTGCTCACCGGTGGGAGGGAGTCAGCCTCCGCCGTCCCTCCAACACTCAGGGCCCAGTGGGGCGTGGCATGGGGGACAGGTCCTGGACTCAGCTGCCTCTTACTGCTCTTCTGACCTGGGCCGAGCGGCTCAAACCCAGGAAAGCAGGTGAGGAGGAAACATCTCTCAAGGCCCAGCCTCAGCCCCGAACACTGGCCACTGCTGACTCCCCTCCTCCTGGTGCCGTCATCCAGGTTTCCCGTGCCCCTGGATCATCCCCACCAGGTGACAAACCCACTGTGGCTTCTCTCGCCTTAGAAGTCACGATCAAAACCCTCCCCTCATCCCTTTCTCCATCACTTCTTTTCAGTCTGTCATCAAAAGAATTGTTCGTACTCACCCTCTCTAATTTCTTTTCTTTTTCTTTTTGAGTCGGAGTCTCACTCTGTTGCCCAGGCTGGAGTGCGGTGGCACACTCCTGGCCACTGCAGGCTTGACCTGCTGGGCTCAAGCGATCCTTCCACCTCAGCCTTTCAAGCCACTGAAAACACATGCATGCCACCATGCCTGGCTGACTTTTTGATTTATTGTAGAGATGAGGTTTCACCAGGTTGCCTGGGCTGGTCTCCAACCTCTGGGCTCAGGCAATCCTCTCGCCTCGGCCTCCCAAAGTGAGCCACTATGCCGGACCTAATTTCATTCTTTTTTTTTTTTAATTTTTTGAGGATGAGTCTCACTCTGTCACCCAGGCTGGGGTGCAGTGGCATAATCAGGGCTCACCACAGCCTTAACCTCCTGGGCTCAGCCTACCGAGTAGCTGAGACTACAGCACAGAGATGACCTGACATGGCCATCAGGCCTGCTAATTTTCTTTCTTTTTTTGGGGTACAGATGAGGTCTTGCTATGTTGTCCAGGCTGGCCTGGAATTCCTGGGCTCGGGCAATCCTTCTGCCTCGGCCTCCCCAAGTGCTGGGATGACAGGCGTGAGCCACTGTGCCCGGCCCCTCTCTAATTTCTGTATTCTTACTCTTTCTAGACCCGCTCTCATCATGCTTTTGATCCACTGCTTCCCCAAATGGCTCTTGCCAAGACTGGTACCCACACACCTCCCCGCTGCCTTCCAGTGGCTGACAGCCCTCAGTCCTCATCTTCTGCCTCACCCTCAGCCCCTGACGGGCTCAGCCTCCTCCCCAGCACTGCTGTCTGGGCTCTGGGACACACCCTTGCCTGCTTCTCCTCCTCCTTTCTCCCCGGCGGCTCTGCCTCATCCCTCTGGCTTCATCCAAGTATACCTGGGTTCTCCTCTCCGGCCAATCGCTCCCTAGGTGATTTCATCCAGGATCATGGCTTCCAGTGTCATCTTTATGCTGATGACTCCCGGATGGCTACCTCCCACCCAGGTACTCCCTGGACTTCAGTTCCTATTTCCAGCTGCCTGGCACTTCTGGGATGACTCAGAGGCATCTCACGTGGCCATAACAGAGCTCTCATCTTCCCCTGAAACTGCTCCTCCCCTGGCCTTCTCCAGCTCAGAGAGCAGCTCCTCTCCTAATGGCTCAGGCAAGAACCTTCCATGACCTCATGGCTTCCGTCCTGGTTCACACCGTCATCCTACCTGCATTACTGTAATCGCCTAACTGGTCTCTGATTACACCTTTCCTCTGCCCTCCTCACTTAAAGGAAAACCAAGCACCACAAGGCCCTTGGAGAGGTGGCCCCGGTCACCTCTCCTCACTCCAGCCACTCACCCTCCTTGACATTCCCTTGAACACACCAGTTACATTCCTCCTTCAGGGTGTTTGCATTTGCTGCTCCTTTGCCTGTAACCCCAACAGTTTGGAAGGCTAGGGTGAGAGGATCACTTGAGGCCAGGAGTTTCAGATCAGCCTGGGCAACATAGCAAGATTCTGTTTCAACAAAAAAAGTTTTAAAAAACTGGCCAGGTGTGGTGGGGCGTGCCCGAGAGGATGTAGTGGAAGGATCACCTAAGCCCAGAAGGCAGAGATTGCAGTAAACGGTTATCATGCTACTGCACTCCAGACTGGTTGACAGAGTGAGCCCCTGACAAAAACAAAAAACAAAAAAAGCTTCCCCCAGATATCCACAAGTCTTTACCCAACCATCACTTTATTAGAGTGGCTTTCTTTGACTACCCTATTTAAACTGCATTCAAGCTGGGCGCGGTGACTCAGCCTATAAACCCATGCTTTGGGAGGCTGAGGTGAGTGGATTGTCTGAGCCGGCAGTTTCGAGACCCGCCTGGGCAACTAAGCAAGACCTTATCTCTACAATAAATCAAAAAATTAGCCAGGCGTGGTAGCATGCACTTGTAGTTCCAGCTACTTGGAAAGCTGAGGCGGAAGGATCGCCAGAGCCCAGCAGGTCGAGGCTGCGATGGCTAGGAGCGGCCACTGCACTCCAGTCTGGGCGACAGAGTGAGACTCCAACTCAAAAAATAAAAATAAAAAAATAAAAAATAAACAAACTGCATTCAGCTGGAGGCAGTGGTTCACGCCTGTAATCCCAGCACTTTGGGAGACCGAGACGAGAGGACTGTTTAAGCCCAGGGGTTCTAGACTAGCCTGGGCAACTTGGCAAGAGTTCATCTCTACAATAAATCAAACAATTAGCCGGACGAGGTGGCACGCTCCTGTGGTTCCAGCTACTTAGAAGAGTGAGGCAGAAAGATCACCTAAGCCCAGCAGGTGGAGGCTGCAGTGGCCGTGAACATGCCGTTGCCCTCCAGCCTGAGTGACAGAGTAAGACGCCGACTCAAAAATAAATAAACTGTATTCAGCCAGACGCAGTGGCTCACGCCTGTAATCCCAGCACTTTGGGAGGCCGAGGCAAGAAGACTGCCTGAGCCCAGGGGTTCGAGACCAGCCTGGGTAACCTGGCGAGATCTCATCTCTACAATAAATCAAAAAATTAGCCATATGTGGTGGTGAGTGCCTGTGGTTCCAGCTACTTGGAAGGCTGAGGCGGAAGGATCGCGGAGCCCAGCAGGTCGAGGCTGGCACCTCTCAGGCGCGCCATCAGTCTTTACTGAACGGCGAGCTCTTATTCTTAACCCACTATTTACCCTATGTTGCAATTTCACCCCAATTTGTCTTTAAATCTTGTTCAAAGTGAGGAAATACTTGAATATCAAGAAATTCAGACCAGGGGAAAGCATAGCTTTGGTCCAGGCTGGGTTTTTTTTTTTTTCTACTTCTCAATCAAACTTCCAGGAGAGTCACCAGCACCTTCCTCGGAGCCCTTTGGAACATACACGACGTGAATGTCAAGTTTACACCACGTGCACACGAGGGTCTTCCGGCCGTTCTGCACCCGGGCGGGCACAGCGCGGGAGAAGCCGGGGCGGGCGCCGATCCCCGGACCCAGAAGGTCGGCGGCACCCGGGGATCCACACGACCTTCGCCGCGGGGACACCGCCGGACCGCGGAGAGACAGACCGTCCGCCCGCCCGCGCCGCCCCGGGGGGCAAAGGGCGAGGTCCGGGAGCCCCGGGATTCCGAGTCCGCGGGCGGGGTCAAAGCCGGGCATCCTCGGCCCGAGAGGAGGCCAGGGCCGGGGAGGATAGCGGCCCCGCGGTCGGGCCAAGCCGA